GGGTACCTTTTCCCCATAAAATTAAATTATTAATTAAAATTCCAATTTTAGGAGAATATCATCTAAATGAGGTAGAAATGTTCATGTATTCATTTCACGATTATTTCGATGGAATTATAGGAATTAAAGCTCTATGTGATAACAAACTGAATATCGATTTTGAAAATATGTGTCTTGTAAACGATCAAACATGTATAGCATTTCAATTTAGAGGTGACTTTGAAAATCAAACTATCGAAATACCTCCTAACACAGTTCAAAAATGTGAATTCCTCACGAGAAAATTAAAATTATTATATTCCATCAACTATTAATACAATTAAAAATGGTAAAATACCACTTGATGTTCATAGTTTAAGACAAAATCCTCACATTAGATTGATTGATGATATTCAAGAAATATGCGAACCATTTGAAGAAGAAAATTATCAATTGTTTAACGCAGAACAGATAAATACCCAAAAAACCAATGATTATAAAGAGGAACCCAGAAGAAGTTGAAGATTTACAAAAACTTGTAAATTCGTTTCCTAGAGTCTTTCACAAACCAAATGATAAATTATCATTCACAAATCAGGTTAAACACGAAATTAGGACCGAAGACGAAATTCACACAAAGACGTATAGATATCCACATATTCATAAACAAGAAGTGAATAAACAAATCCAGAAAATGTTAGAAGATAACATTATTCGAAAATCATGTAGTCCGTGGTCATCTCCAGTCTGGATTGTACCAAAAAGTTAGATGCTTCAGGCATAAAAAAATTGTGAATGGTCGTAAATTATAGAAAAATCAATGAAAAAACGATAGACGATCGATACCCATTACCAAATATAACAAACATTCTCGACAGACTTGGAAAAGTAATTATTTTACTACTCTAGACTTAGCTTCTGGATTCCACCAAGTTGAAATGCATCCAAACTCCATAAGTAAAACAGCTTTCAATGTAGAAAATGAACAATGAATTTATTCGTATGCCCTTCGGATTAAAGAATGCCCCAGCAACATTTCAAAGAGTAATGGACAACGTTCTAATACGTCTACAAAACAAAATATATCTAGTTTACATGGATGATATTATTATATTTTCTACTTCTCTTCAAGAACATATTGCAAATCTTAAAAAGATATTTGAAAGATTGGAACAATTCAATCTAAAAATCCACTTAGATAAATCAGAATTTTTAAAGAAATCAGTAGTATTCTTGGGACATGTAATATCCCCAAATGGTATTAAACCAAATCCAAAGAAAATCGAAGCTATAAAAAAATTTCCAATCCCAAAAACCGTTCATGAAATTAAATAATTTCTAGGATTGATAGAATATTATCGAAAGTTCATAAAAAACTTCGCTTAAATAACAAAACCAATGACAATTTGTTTGAAAAAGTAATCCACGATTCTGAATTTCTAAAAAGTTTTGAAACATTTAAAAACGTATTAATCAATGATCCTATTTTACAACACCCTGATTTCAATAAACCGTTTTCATTGACTGACGCATCAAATTATGCTATTGGCGCTGTATTGTCACAGGAGCCAGTGGGCTCAGATTTACCAATTGCTAACGCAAGTCGTACATTAAAGGGAGTGTGACCCAAAAATGAAAGTTTTAGTGCAAAAAAATCTATGAATAAATATTTGAACCGCATCTTGCTACGATGATCCGTTTTCGAGTTAGGGCGGTTTAAAGTTACAACTAGGTTTTTGTGACGTCACACTAGATTATCAGGGACAGTATTAACACGTGCAAACATTTTCTAAAACAAAAGACAATTATCTCCTAGAGCGAAATGCAACCACTTAAAGTATGGGGTACAGTTCACTGACGACTGAACGAACAGAAGGCTGCGATTTCGGCGGTTGTAACATCACAAGCTTCTGCATAATTTATCTTCAAATGGAATTTTCTCGGAGACTATTTTGAATGTCGGACTGCGGTTTCCACGAGAGATCTTAGAATTTTTTTCTTAATTTAAGTAGCTTAAGTCTGGACAGATATTTAGAATTTTATCTGACCATAAACAACTTCAATGGTTATTCTCTGTTAAAGAACCCGAATCTAAATTAATCCGATGGGGATTAAAATTAGCAGAATATCATTACGAAATCAAATACAAGAAAGGAACTCTTAATACGAATGCAGACGCATTATCAAGACCTCCTTTAATGCTATTTCCAGATCAGATTCCAGTACTGAATCAGATTCTGATGAAAAGTTTCATAAAACTTTAGGAGCAATGTTAAAAGACACACCACTTAATAATGACAAGATAATTGAAAAATATTTCAAAGATACTGAATTTTTTGAACCTCAAATACAAGCTAAGAAATCTATTAATAAAGGTAAAGAAATTAAAATAACTGATGAACATAATGAAGTTCCATTGTTCGAATCTTCTTGTCCAGCAGATTCACCACAAAAAGAGAAAGTAGAACCTTTGATTAAAATCTTGTCTCAAGTAACAATACCTCCAAAAAGATTGAAAAAGAAAAAAATACAATTGAAAAAGATATAGTCCAAAAAGATACGGTTGAGAATGAAATAATCGAAGACGATCAAACCATTCACAGGTCCCTTGAAAACCCTATTCTAGGAGTCATGTGGATAATGTTTAGATATTCATATAGATGCTGAGTGAGGGATACTGCCTGGAAAAGTACCGTCATATCAAGGTTTCGCCCACACAGAATTCAAGCTCAGCAGTATTTTAATATAAATACGGCGCGCGGAGCCTTTTGCTTCATTCTTTTGTTTTTAGTTGAGCTATAGCAATTAGAATTAATATTCTTTTGTTTTCGGCCTTTTGCCGCAGCAATTTAGAGTCTAGTATTTTTCTTAAGTTTTTAATAAAATAAATAGTTTGTAGAAACAAGATTTACTGAACGAAAAATATAATTGTTACCTCAGCCAAAATAATAATGTCAACAATAGCCTAATTGTTTTTCTACCTATTCAATATATTTTTTTTTTATCTGCATCACCATATATTTTGGTATTACGACAATAATATGTGTAACTAAATATGATGGCTGACCTAACAATGGTTATTTTTTTGAGTGCGTTCATGTGCGTTGATTCTTGCGATGAGTGGGTTTTTATAACTTTTGTTCAGGGTGTTGTGTCAGGGTTGCCCAATGCCTAAAAGGACTACTTTAATGTTGTCTCTCTTATGGGATTTCTGACCGCGGTCAAATTTAACTAAATTTTAATATGTTATAGATCTCACCTTTCTGATCAATAACTTCCATGGACACAACTTAATCCTATGACTAGTTTTTGAGATACAGGTAGTTTAATGTCCAAGAAATGCACACATTTTATATGCATTTATCACCTGAGCGTGAGAATACCTGTCCATTCTGGTATTATTAGGTGAGTATGGTTCTGTAGACAGAACTGGGAATAGATTCCCAGTTTTACTTTGCATCCCATATGGTTTTTTTTCTACAGCTCTATTGCAATTTAGTCTTTCAATTATTATAAAATTTTTCGCCAGCTTTTCATGAATGTATTGATAAACTCTTTGGACTTTATAACATGCGAAACAAAATTACAATATCTACTATTTTCAGCATTAGGATGCAAATTCTGAGTTTGAAGCTGCGAAAGGGCCTATAGATGAATAAATAAACTAAATAGAAAAAGAAACACTAATAAATGGATAAAAAATCGGAGAGTGAAGTGAAGCAAATAAAGCCGAAAAGAAAGAAAATTTAATTCAATTCGACGATTAATCTTACGTTGAAACAATTGACATTTCTAAAGTTTCCCTATTCGAGACGCGTGAAATACAAAACAATATTTCAGTCCTATTTCCGTACCCAGACTTCCTGCCAAAAAGCGGAAATTTTAAAACAGAATATCTCGTATAAAGTCAATGCATATACGTAAAAAATATATAAATAGATATTGATTTTCTCGCAGTCCCAGAAACTTTGCTCCATATAAAACTTCCTCTCTCTCTCTCTGCTTGACTGTGGCTGCTCATACTCCTGCTCTGGATACTATAAACGACTTTTTATTCTCGCGTAGCTCCGTTTTTTTTTTTTAGTTTGAGTGAACTTATTAAAAAGATTACTATATTATATACACATAATTTTTTTCGTCAAATAACAAATTACAATACAATTTAATTTTCTTTTCCATTCAATGGTATTCACAATACAAGTGGGATAAAAGTCCATAATATTCTGAGTAAAAATCATCACATTGATTGGCTTGTGGAACGAGTCGTGGAATTCAAAATCTTCAGCCACTTGGGTAGATTACTATGTTCTTTTTTTTTCAATATTGGCGTATAGAGAAATGTCTTTTATAATAATTATTGTTGGTATATTTCCCAACAATTCCAAGGTTTGGATATGGCAACTAAATAGTGGCGAAAACAAATAACATTTTCTAAATAATAAAGTGAGTTTATTCTCGAAGATGAATAAATTATCTGCTTGCTGAGAGTTGTTTTTTATTTAGGTTTCCATTTAAAATACGACAAAAGATAATTTCATATGACGCCTGTCTTCACCAGATCTCGCTTCACTGGTCTTCGCAAAAATCCACAAATCTCCTATAAGTGGTTAGCTACCCCATGTTCTGAATTCTATTATTTGGTTTGAAAAGTAAGAAACAAATAAAATATTTAATAATTGAGTTATCAAATGTTTTCTTCGAAACTATATCGAATGAGGCATAGGTGTACTGCCTTACTCTTCCGATTACGATAATTGATCATGAAATATACCTACTTGACGAAGACTTTAACAAGCCTACTGGTGAAGCATATACTATTTAAAGAATATGAGTTATTTATTACCTTACTAACTTAAAGTTGTTTCAACCCAGCTTCCTAATTTTTGAAGTTGATGCTATTACCTTACACCTCATTATTTAAAGTCATCTATCAGCCCTGTTTTAGAAAAAAATATATATAAATATTTCGCAATAAAATTATTTAATAAAAATTTAGATTTTTTTTCTTTTATTTTCTGCAGGAATGGAACGACGTAAATCTAAGGTGGAATTCCTCGGAATACGGCGGTGTCAAAGACCTGCGAATACCTCCACATCGTCTGTGGAAGCCAGATGTTCTTATGTACAACAGGTAAGTAAGTCGTAAATTAAATCACTTTCCTGTCACATTTGCGAGCGCAACACGCGAGACGCCATGGTCATAAAAAGCTTGATAAGAAACAGAGCGAAAAGAAGATAAGAGGCAAATTCCTTTCTTGGATGATGGTGCAGTTTATTGTTAAAATTATTGCCGTGTTTATGAAATTTAGGACGAAAAAGAAGAATGTTCAAATGCAAGACTTTATAATTGGGTATTTACATTCGCTTTTAGCTCTCTGCTAATGACCAAATTTGCATTGGTAGTGTAAGTGTGGGTTTATACCAACTGCATTGTGAACGCGAAGCTTGGTCTCAATGCTGATGTATTGGTTGTTGGACACTATCTCTAGAATTCGCGAACGCCGCGCTAGCACGCTTCAAACAATGTTGAATTTCAGCGTCAATATCATTCGCTGACAAATCGCTGCCAAGGTATGGGTAGTGTTTTACGTTCTGCAGAGAATGGTCATTCATAGTTTTATTTGTGGCTTGGGGAATAGCATCCGTTGTGGGTTGGTGCAGAATTTGTGTCCTGTTAAAGTTGTAGGCCAATTCTCCTGATTGCCTGGTTGAATGCATTGATAATTACATGAAGATCTTCCTCTGTATTGGCCATCATGACGTTATAATAACAATATTGAAGTTCAATTGGGTGCCATAGCACAAATCTGTTTAACCTGTGAGTTATTTGAAAAGACTCTGCATGTCCATCGCTGCTTAGGGAAGCTGCGTTTATATTATCATGCAGCAGGCAGAGTATCCGGATATAGATAACTAAATTTATGAAGGCGATTTTTTTCTCTGGATTACTCTCGCATTTGTCTTGCACTGAAGATCATGTCAACTCGATTGGGTCCAAAGCCACACTGTGTCTCTGGGAGGTTCTGTTCGGCAGTTGGGATTAGACGATTTGATAATAACCTGGCAAGTATCTTTCCGCAGCAGAAAGTAAAGATATTCCCCTGTAGTCTCCACATTGAGCATTGTCTCCCTTTTTGAAACTGGCAACTATGTAGGAATCAAGTTCGGCAGGTATGGTCTCATTAATCCAAATTTTATTTTAATTCTCGCCTTTGCCTTTGAACTTGTTCCTTTGCTTGTTGGTATTGCCTTTTTTGACAGTCGAGCTGAGGTCGCTTTTCCATCCATTATGTGTTTTTTTTTTTCCCCCTTTATTCAAGGTTTTGAATTTCAGTCTCGTTCTCGTCTTTTGTATGTAGCCGACCGTTTATTCAATCCACTGTAATGAATGGGTATTATTTCACTAGTGTTTTAACTGCTACATATCAACATCAACAAACCACCTTCATTCAATTGTTCTACAGATTTTTCCTACATGTCCTACCAGGCAACCAGTCAACAATAAGAATAAGGTAGACAAATGCCGGTACTTTTGTTCTCAGTTTTCGAACTTGACAGTCGCTAAAAATAATCAGGGGTTTGGATGTGCTCTAACCACATAATACTTACAGTCCTTGGCCCATGCAAAACATTGTTAAATTCAACGATTCGCTAATCGAGATCAAAAGTATCGGCCCTTAATATATCACGTCACTCTGCCATACACTAGTTTTCTCCTCGTTAAAAAGACAGATTTCCCCGGAAGATTTATTTACACAACAACCAAATCTCCAAGGTATATCCGCTTCAGAAGAAGGGTGACGTGATTACTAATTAAATTATGACATGAACCGACATAAATTCATGAAATGACAAATGATGACAAAACGATGAACTGGAAAACGTTGTGCTTCTTATTGTTGCTTTGATATTTCTGTTTGTTGAAAAAGTGTTTCGTAGTGATAGAGCGGTATCTGTGTGTATTTGTGGACTTTCACAGTGTTATGTTTAGTGTAAAGACTATTATTGTTATTTAATTCTGTGTTGTTAAGTGTTGCCATTAGCCGCTTTCCAGCTAATGTGCTTCAAGCACGGTGCAGCACAGTGTTCTGCGTTTAAAACGCAAAGTTAGCAGATCTCGGAGCGCAGTACGGCTGGAACACAAACACGCGCTTGAAGCATTTGCGCGCGCAAAAGCTCGATTGCGTGCTCAAAATGGGCAGTTGGAAAGCGGCTTTTGTTGACAAATTTCGAAAAGCCAACATATTTTTCTTCTCTCCTTGTAATAAACCGTTATTTGTTAAATTTGCATCAAATTGTGTCTTGATTATAAAATAAATAAAAAGCAAATCTAAAAAAAACAGGAAGCAAACTGCTCTACAAGCTGCTACAATGGGATGAGCTCATTTCATAGAAAACAGATGGCGCCACAAATGGTTGTCCAATCCGTATAACGGGACTGTCCATTCTATTCCCACTATAAACCTTATTCTATGATTAACATGACTGACGTCTATTGTTAGATCACGAAACTTCCTTTAAAAAATAGACCTTTGATAGTCGTTATTTCTTACAAAAACTGATCATTTTTTTTCAAAAAGTATGAAGAGAACGTATAGTCTTCTACTCGCAAATAATGGTCATAATAGGGTAGTGGACAAGGTATAATTTCAATGAAATCGATGATCTATTGTTCATCTATGGAATAAATGAAAAATATTCCTATTGAAAGAAATTTCAGAAAAAATTGTTTAAAACAATTGTGAAAGTAGAGTTTTGGGACGCACTATTTAAACGAAAATATTTCCCGCCTTGATTCTACGTCATAGCTGCTATATTTGAGTATGAAATGAATCAAACCTTCGTCCTATATTCGACACACACTTACTCATTAGTGCGAAAAAGAGAGATATATCAGTGTCTGTGTGTCATTACATCTAGGCGCACCCTCAACTTAACCCCACATTTTGAGAGATTTCCATTTGCCAATGAATGCGCCCTGAGCTTATCTGCATCTTTTTCTAGATGCATGTAAAATATAAGGACGCACTGACCGCGCTCTCGCCCACTCTTATTAATGTCGGAATGCCTTAAGACATAACAACTGTGACGTAATTTCCGGGCGGTAAATTATAGCGTTTTAAATAAGTACAAATTTGTTTATTTTTTTTTAGGTATATTTTTGTATTTTAAAATCAAAGGATCATCAACTACTTATTTTGGAGATTATTTAAAAAAATATTTCAAAAAATTGTCCACTACCCTATTCACTCGAATGATTTGTAACCTCTTTTGTTAATGAATTAACAAGAGGACCATAATATGCTCAGTTTGCTCAGCAAATAATTATTAGGGGTGGGTTAATAGTTTGATAAGTACAGAATGGCAAGGGCGCTACTTAATTTGAAAAATAAAATAAATAATTAAATTACATAAAATATTGAAGTGTGACAGTTCAGAAACACACCTAAAAAAAATAATTAACAAACGGTAGTTGACAATTGACCTATCTTTTTTTACCTTGACTGCGCGCGCAACTCGTGGGTTGCAGGTGAGTGTCCAATGAGAAGCGGGTTTGTTACGGGCTTGCGTCATAATCTTATTTTGGGGCCAGTTCAGAATTAATCGTTCTTTCTTTCTTTGTAACGTGTAATTTGACAAAGAGCAAACAAACTCTTTACGTCTCACTTCTGAACTCACCGCAGTTTCGTTTAAAATTATGTCAGATTATACTTGACATATTCCTTTAAACTTTCATTGTACGATGTTGCCTGATGAAACATTTATCAAAATAAAAGTGCAAACGATGTTAACATACACTGTAAAGCTTTTCTTTCGTCTGATTTAAAGCGGTGTAAAACGCGTTGTAATAAAGTTCAATTTGTATTGTCTACATTTGTTCTGCAACAATATAAACTGGCTACACTGCAACCCACTAGTTGCGCGCGCATATAATCTTTCATTACTTTCCAACTTCTATTTATTACAATTAAGCTGTCTTTTTCTATTTATGCGAGACAGGTCAATTCTGAAAAGGAAAAAAAAATAAGGCATACAACTTGACATAGGTAAAACCAATAAAACACTCAAGCAATCTTCAAATAAAATTAATGTATATTTTCAGTCAGGTTAAAAGTCAAACATCAAATTTTAAAAGTTGGAATTAATTGTTAGTGGAACACTTTAAATAAATTTATTAAATGGAGGTTAACCCTCAATCAGATTCATCAAACTCCAAAAAACTAATACCCCAATGTAATGTCTGTTTTTTTTTTAAGATAAAAGTCAAACTGACATTATGTTCGCAATACAAAATAAAATTGTCAATGCTTTCAAATTTTTTATGTAGAAAAGGCTTGTGTTGCCAACATAGTTACTAAATTTTTGACTTGGGGAATTATCTTTTAAAAAAAACAGACTTTACCACAATATAGTTGCCATATAAGTTCATTAACAGTCGTTAGCCATATCATTAAATTGAAAGAAAAATATGAAGGACATAAGTTTCCAGAAAATTAATGAAGAAAGAATGAATGAATGAACATTATTATAATATTATAGGATGAATATGGTCAGCCAGCTACTACCAGAAAAATAAATTCAAAAAAATCAACTTACACCTGTATGATATCAAAAGTTGGGTTAAATGGTCTGGAGATATAATAGAAACCCTCAATATATGTATAAGTTATATTTAGGACCCAGGTTAGAAAGTAATCAATTTTCGACGATGTAGGTACTTGCTCAATAATTTTTAATTTAGAGCATGATGTCCAACCTTCAACTTCTGTTCAGATTACTGATTGATTATTATTGTAAGTACATTATTTACAAATATTTAAATGTCATATCAGAAAAAAAAGATCAATCAATTTTGTTAATTGATCATAAAGTATATTTCATTGAAAAATAACAAAATTTATAAATAAAACTCTATACAACCTTCATTAAAACAAAAAGGTAGAGTACGGTAGCCATTCATTCTCGGCCACTTGACGAGGGAATCAAGGCTAGAAGTTCAGTATCCTTCGTCAAATGTGGAGGTACACGTATCGACTCGTGAGGGACTTGATTCCTCTAGGAATCCCTTCAAAAGCTCTATGCCACGCTGCACGAAAATGGTGCTTTTTTAAAAATGTGGCCTTTTGGAAA